ATAACAGATTTGGAAGGAAGGGATCTTGGAGGTCCTCTAGTCTAACCCCCTGCTCAACCCCCACCTGTGGCATGCATGCCATCGCTCTCCATCATGGTGCGTTTGAACAAGTCCTCAGGTCACCGGGGCCTACTTGTTTTACGACCATCGTGATTTACAATGGCTTTGTTAACAGTGGAAGAGTAGCTGTTTATGGTCTTCTCTCTATTCTCTGCATCTTCCCGATTGATGTCATTCGCCTGACTCCCATCGTTTTCTTTAGAGCAGCAGTTTTGGAGTTTCTCTTTCTTTTTTTCCCCTTCCTTTTTGGCAAAAGAACAATGAACACTCAGCTGGTTTGAGTTGCCATTCTTCTCTCCTTTTTTCTTAAAAAGGGGAAAAAACCAACAACAACAACCCACGCTATTGTTTTGCCGGCAACAACAGATGTCATAAATCTGAATAGAGAGGGGGGGGGGAAGAGAACAAAAAGCTTGTGGTTAATCTAACATCCCGTTTTCCTAAACATTTGCTACTCTGCATGCACACAGCCGGCGGGAGGGCTGGGCCAAGGATGCGCAGAACAGAAGGACTCAGAATCATGTTGAGGATTCAAGATCTTGGGGATCTTGATACGGAAAACTTGTTTGGGAATCCCAATAGTGCTTTCTTTCAACTGGATTTTCTTATTTTTAGTTTTGAAGAGTTTCGCTTCTCATCTAAGGAGCTTCTTTTGCTCTCACTGGGTGGTGGGGAATGGAAGGATTGATATTCCTTGCAGACAACTGGTCATTTCCATCCTTTTAGAGGGTCCTTGAGGCCACTTGGAGGTTTCTCTGTGTCCTCAGGGTCACCTGAGTGGTGCAAATGGTTCCTGTAGCCTGCATTTTTTCCTTGTGGAAATCCGTTCCTACTCCCACACCATTCCAAGGGGGTTCATCCCAAATTGGCTAAAAGTCTGTAGAGATTCTCCATCATCCAGGTCACGGTTGTCCCAAAGCTGTTTTTTTCAGGAGGCAACTGGACTTTCTAATTTTTCCTTTGAAGATGTTTTGCTTCTCACCCAAGAAGCTTCTTCAGCTCTGACTGGATGGTGGGGAATGGAAGGATTGATATTCCTTGCTGGTCATTTGCATCCTTTTAGAGGGTCCTTGAGGCCACTTGGGGGCTTATCTGTGTCCTCAGGGTCATCTGAGTAGTGTAAATGGTTCCTGTAGTCTGCAATCTTTTCCTCTGGAAATCAATTCCNTTGGGAGATCTTTGGGAAGTAGTGATCTTCCAGAGAGATCACTTGGGATTCCTGGAGAGATCTCTGAGGAAGCAGTGATCTTTCAGGGAGATCGCTTGGGACTTCTGGGGAGATCTTTGGGACGTAGTGATCCCTTGGGACTCCTGGGGAGATCTTTGGGAAGCAGTGATCTTCCAGAGAGATCATCTGGGATTCCTGGAGAGATCTCTGGGGAAGCTGTGATATTTCAGGAAGATCTTTGGGAAGCAGTGATCTTTCAGGGAGATTGCTTAGGACTCCTGGGGAGATCTTTGGGAAGTAGTGATCCCCTGGGACTCCTGGGGAGATCTTTGGGAAGCAGTGATCTTCCAGAGAGATCACTTGGGATTCCTGGAGAGATCTCTGGGGAAGCAGTGATCTTTCAGGGAGATCGCTTGGGACTCCTGGGGAGATCTTTGGGAAGCAATGATCTTCCAGACAGATCACTTGGGACTCCGGGAGAGATCTCCGGGGAAGCAGTGATCTTTCAGGAAGATTGCTTGGGACTCCTGGGGAGATCTTTGGGGAAGTAGTGATCTTCCAGAGAGATCACTTGGGACTCCTGGGGAGATCGTTGAGAAGCAGTGATCTTTCAGGGAGATCGCTTGGGATTCCTGGGAAGATCTCTGGGGAAGCAGTGATCTTCCAGAGAGATCACATGGGATTCCTGGGGAGATCTTTGGGAAGCTGTGATCTTTCAGGGAGATCATTTAGAATTCCCAGGGAGATCTCCAAGGAAGCAGGGAGATCACTTTTTAAAAAATCGATCTGTTGAGGCCATCTCCGTCTGGGCTGGCCGTTGTGCGCTTCCCAAACCTGATTTTAGCTAGGAACTCAAACCATGCGTGGCTGCGTTTCCTTTCTGGCGCTTTGTGGGGGTGATTCAGGTTTCTGGATAATTTGGGTGGGGCGACTTGAAACGAGAGAGGGACACGCGGCAAATAGCAAAGCCTCACGCAGCTTCTCCGTTGCTCTCGCAGATTCCGCAGATTCTGTGAGTCAGGAGGGCAAGCAAGTTTGCATTGTGTGGTCAGAAACTAGATCTGAAGAAAAAGGGGAGGGGGAACCCCCAGGGCTCCCTCTGAATCAGGCCATAGATTGCTCAGGAGCATCTGGAAGCTGAGTGAACAAACCTGGTGACTTCAAAGCGGCTGATTTATGACCCTGATCTTCTCTGGAGAAATTTTGCACTTGGCTAATGATTTGTGACACTTCCTGACGGTAATTGAAAAGGCAGCTTCAGATCCTGCTTGGGATCGATGCCCACCGGCCGGGGTTAAAGGAGGTCAGGCGCCACCAGACGGTCACTTCCCGGACCGCCAGTCGGTTCTGGGATGACTGCCTGCCTGCCTGCCAGTGGCTGAAGGCTGATTTAGTGCCGCGCTTTTCACTCAATTTCCTGAAACGCCTCTTGAAATCATATTCTCGGGCAGACATTGATCAAGGCACGACTGACGAGGCAGGAGAAAACAAGAGCACTGGGAGGAGCGCAAATTTATGGCCTTGGCTGGAAGGAAGCCTGGTATTCCCCCACCCCACCCCCAAAAATGTTCCGACTCTGGAAAGAGTGCAGAAAACAGCCACAAAGATTAGTGGGCTTGAGGCTAAAATTTAACAGATTAACAGTTGGAAAGGTACCTTGTAGGTCATCTAGTCCAGCCCCCCGCCCAAGCAGGAGACCTTACACCATTTCTGACAGATGGCAGTCCAGTCTCTTCTTGAAAGCTTCCAGGGATGAAGCTCCCACAAATTCCGAAGGCAACTTTTGTTCCATTGGTTGACTGTTCTCACTGTCAGAAAGTTTCTCCTTATTTCCAGGTTAAATCTCCCCTTGGTCACTTTCCATCCATTGTTCTTTGTCTGGCCTTCAGGTGCCTTGGGAAATAGCCTGACCCTCTCCTCTCTGTGGCAGCCCCTCAAATATTGGAAGTCTTCTATCATGTCCTTCTCCCCTGACACACAAACTCATAACAGGGGCAAATTTTGCTTAACTAACATTGAGATATTTGAACAAAAATGTCGGGCTCAATTGTGGTCAAACGTCGAGAACCACCTGTAGAACAATGACATGGAACAACAGATCCCATACGTCCATGTCAACCTCCACTAACTTACTGGCCCCAATGGTTCGGGGAAGGAGGGGGAGGGTAGATGCCACGGCTTCCCATCCTCCCAAGAAAGCTTTCGACAGCATTGAGGAATTCTGCCATCTCCTCTGGGCTGCTTGCAAACCAAATGGAAGGAAAAAGGTCTCTAAAGATAATTATCGTTGCATATATATATTTTATAAAGGCTGCTGCTGGCAGCCGGAGGAATGAGAAGTTCAAGCATAGGCCAAGCTAAATATAAACGAATATGGAGGCCTGTACGGTCATGCATTAACAGTTGTCAGTTTGTGGCTCAGGAATAGCCAGAGATGTTCAGAGGGTAAAAAAAATAAAAAGGAGCCAGAGAACGCCAAACAGAAATCTAATCCCATTTTCCCGGTGGGTTAAATCCCTGGGAGATCCCTGGCATGGTTGGATCTGTTCAACGATGGTTAAATATTCCAGCGTGGTTCGTGATCTTCTCTTAAAAATCTCCAAAGCTTAAGAGTTGGCACCCACATCAAGGAGACTTAACACATGGTCATCAGCTAGTCTCTAATGGACGAGAAGACATTCCTGATCTTCTCTTACAAATCTCCAAAGCTTAAAAGCTTGTGCTGTTATCTTCTGACACCCATATTAAGGAGATAAGTCAACATGAGGTCATCAGCCCGGTCTGTGTTCGGGGGGGCAACAGTCCCAAAGACCCCAGGGTCTTCTGATGGGACGTTCCAACAAGGTACAACATCTTCTCCTATCAGTCTCCAGAGTTTGAGACAACAGTCTTCTGGCAACCATATCAAGGAGACTTAACATGAGGTCATCAGCCAAGTCTCATAAATCTTAGTTCTGCTGAAAGCAGTCCCAAAGACCCCAGAATCTTTTGATGGTGGTCTCCACTGGACAAGAAGACATTCCAACTTGGTTCATGATCTTCTGTGATAAATCTCCAAAGCTTAACAGTCTGTGCTGTGGTTTTCCGGCACCTACATCAAGGAGATAAGTCAATATGAGGTCATCAGTCAGGTCCCAGCAATCTTTGTTCTGGTGGGAACAGTCCAAAGACCCCAAGGTCTTCTGATGGGACGTTCCAACATGGTTCAACATCTTCTCCTATCAGTCTCCAAAGCTTGAGAATTTGTTGTCTTTTGACACCCGCATCAAGGAGACTTAACCCGAGGCCATCAGCCAGGTCCCATAAAACTTTGTTCTGGTGAAACCAGTCTCAAAGACCCCAAAGTCTTCTGATGGGAGTCTCCAATGATCCAGAAGATGTTCCAACAAGGTTCACGATCTCCAAAGCTTAAGAGTTTGTGCTCTTATCTTCTGATGCTCATATCAAGGAAATATGTCAACGTGAGGTCATTAGACAGGTCTGTTCTGGTGGGAACAGTCCCAAAGACCTGAAAGTCTTCTGATGAGGTCTCCAATGGTCCAGAAGATGGTTGGGGGTCCTCATCACTTAGCCCAAAGTGAAACAGAGCCTTGAGTTGTCTAAGGACTTGAAGAGATCAACTCATGTTTGACTTTCAGAAGGCAAGGTCAAAATTACTGGTGGCCCTTGATTTAAGATCATACTTGGGACCAGAATTTCTATGGCTAAGCCAAATGCTTGTTAAGTGAATCACACCTGATCTTATGACCTTTTCCCCATGGTTGCTGAGTGAATCTCTGCAGTTGTTCAAGCGAATCAGTCTGGACTTCAGGGCCAAAGCAGAGATCTCGGAAGGAGGTTCTCAAGTGGGATTGTTGCATCTCTCTGCAGGTTGCCAGCTGCCCGCTTAAGTCTCCTTGGTGCCCCCAACGATGCCCGGCTCCCCTCCTCACCTCAGAAGCCTCTGGACCTGAAGCAGCTGAAGCAGAGGGCAGCCGCCATCCCTCCCATTGTGAGTCTCACTCTTTCTCTTCTCTTGCCTTGCCTTCTCCCCTTCCCTTTCATCCTCCCTTCCCTTCCTCCTTCCCTTCTCTTTTTTCTTCCTTCTATTTCTCTTACCTGCCTTTAACTTCTTTCCTCCCCCTGTCACTAATCTCTCACTCCTTCCTCCTGCTCCTCTCCCTCCCTCCATTCCTTCCTTGTCAGATTCTTTCCTTCCTTCCTCGCTCCCTTCTCTCCATTCCTTCCTTCCCTCCCTCCTTTCCATTCCTTCCATTCCTTCCCTCCCTCCCTCCTCTCCATTCCTTCTTTCCTTCCCTCTCTCCTCTCCATTACTTCCTTCCCTCCCTCCTCTCCATTCCTTCCTTCCCTCCCTCCTCTCCATTCCTTCCTTCTCTCCCTCCCTCCTCTCCATTCCTTCCTTGTCAGATTCCTTCCTTCCCCCCATCCCTCCCTCTATAAGGTCAGCTACAGCAGCTTTGGGTTTTGAAGAAACTGGCACAACTGATTGACACAAACTAACACATCGTGTGTGTGTGTGTGTGTGTGTGTGTGTGTGTGTGTGTGTGTGTGTGTGTGTGTGTTTGTGTTAGGGGTGCCCATTGCAAATGACTAACCTCAGTTCTTTTTCCTCACAGATTTCCGAAGGCCCACTGGAGGGAGCGTTGCAGAGCGGGGCCACCAAAGCCCCAGTGACTCCCCACACCTTGGCCCTCTACCAGCAACAGATCACCCGGGCCCAGGAGGAGGAGGAGGAAGAGGAGGAGGAAGAGGAGGAGGAGGCTGCACCCAGCAAGCTGCCCCCACCGGAGAAGGAGCCCCCCCTTTGCTCCAGCAACAGCAACAGCCCTCGGGCAGCTCCGCATCGGAGCCCGGCAGAGACAGACAAAGAGGGTGAGGGCACTTGGGGGTGTAAGGGGAGGCTGTGGAGGATGAAGCGGGAGGAAGAGAGAGAGGAAAATTAGTGGAGGGAGAGAGAAAAGAAGTTAGAAGAAAGGGTGAAAAAGAGGAAGGAAGTAGAGAGGAATGGGAAGAAGGGGAAGGGAGTGAGGGAGGAAGGAAGGGAGAGGGAGGAAAACTAATGGAGGTAGAGGAAAGAAGTTGGAAGAAAGAAGGAAGGGTGAAAAGGGGAAGGAAGTAAAGAGAAGGAAGGAAGATTGGAGTGGGAGAGGAAAGAAATTAGAAGGAAGAAAGAAGGGTGAAAAAGAGGAAGGAAGTAAAGAGCAGGAGGGGAAGAAGGGAAGGAAGAAAGGAAAGAAAGAAGAAAGGAAGGAAAATTAGTGGAGGGAGAGAGGAAAGAAGTTAGAAGAGGGAAAGGTGAGAAAGAGGAAGGAAGTAGAGAGGGTGGGGAAGAAGGGTAGGAAAATTAGTAGAGAGAAAAAAGTTATAAGATAGGAGGAAGCGTGAAAAAAAGGAAGGAAGTAAAGAGAAGGGAAGGGGAAAAAAGAAGCGAAGGGGAGGCAGGCAGGAAATCTCCCAGCTTATCAGACAGTAAAAAGAGACAGCTTGAGAGTTGAACTTTCAGACTTAAAGATGGTTCGGGAACTGTCAACATGTGAATCATCTCCTCCTCCCCTCCCCCCTTCCNTTTCTTTCTTTCTTTCTTTCTTTCTTTCTTTCTTTCTTTCTTTCTTTCTTTCTTTCTTTCTTTTTGAAAATGAAGGCTAAGAAAGACTTGTTTACAAGGGGTTGTTTGCAAACTCTCAGAATTGGGGTTGGTGCAAATCCAGCGGTCTGGAGCAAAGAAAGGGTGGGGGAACCAAGTTTCAAGTCCTCAACAGGTGCCAAGACAAACAACTGTCGCACCTTCCTGCTCCCCGAGTCGAATGACAGGCAGAGCAATTTCGCTTTTCATCCCATCCCATCCTCAAAAACGCAGGAAAAGTTCTCAGGCACTTTTCCGACTTCTATTTTTATCCTTGCTTTTATTTTATTATTTTTTTAATCTGGAGAAGATTAACTGTCATTTTACAGCCCTCTCTCCCTCTCTCTGAGAGAGAGACAGAGAGAGAGGGGGGATTGAGAGAGAGTGAGGGGGGGAGAGACAGTGCGGGGAGAGATACAGTGAAAGTGAGAGAGAGTGTGTGTGAGAGAGGGAGAGAGACAGTGGGGAGGGGGAGAGGGAGGGAGAGAGACAGTGGAGTGGAGAGACAGTGAGAGAGAGAGAGAAAGAGAGAGAGAGAGATAGTGGGGAGAGAGAGGGAAAGACAGTGTGTATGTGAGAGAGAGAGGGACAGAATCAGAGAGGGAGAGAGAGAGGAAGAGAGACTGGGGGAGGGAGGGAGAGAGAGACAGTGGGGAGAGAGAGGGAGAGACAGTGTGTATGTGAGAGAGAGAGAGTCAGAGGGAGAGAGACTGGGGGAAGGGAGGGAGGGAGGGAGAGAGAGAGAGGTTAGAGTGCTTTCATGGTTTGGCCTTGTTTGGGTTTTTTTTTTCCCCAGGGGGGAAAAAGATGGATGGGTCTCCCGCTGAGATTTGGTTCTATTTTTGCTACTTTCCTCTTTGGCTAGCATTTTGGGTTTTTTTTTTTTTAATCATGTTGTCATTTAACCATCTTCCTATCTCTGCTTTTTAGCCTTTCTGCCTTTTTTTAAACCTTCTGCCTTTCTAAAGCTTTTTAAAAAAACTGTCTGCTTTTCTGCCTTGTCCACCCCAGGTCTCCTTGAACATGGACGCAACTGGTCCGCCATTGCCCGCATGGTGGGGTCGAAGAGCGTCTCGCAGTGTAAAAACTTCTACTTCAACTACAAGAAGAGGCAGAACCTGGATGAGATCCTCCAGCAGCACAAATTGAAAATGGTAAGCGTGGCGAATTGGCTTCCCGTCGGCCAAGCCTTCTGACTTGGAATTCGTTTTTTCGATGGATTCGGTGTTTGCCTTCCGGCCTCGCTGACCCAGCTTCGTGGCCAAATGTTTTGAATCCGGAGAAAAAATATTTGCCAAGTTGTGGTTTATGGGAGATGTATGCATTCATACAGGTAGTCCTTGTTTTATAATGATTCATTTAGTGGCTGTTCCAAATTACAACAGCCCTGAAAAAAAGTAACTTACAACCGGTCCTCACACTTATGACTAGTCCTCGCATTTACAACTGATCCTCACACTTATGACCAGTCCCTGTGCTTGCAGCCAGTCCTCACACTTACAACTGGTCCTCGTGCTTACGATCAGTCCTCACACTTATGACTGTCACAGCATCCCCAGGATCAAGTGATCAAAATTCAGGCGACTGACGGTTGCAATGTCCTGGGGTCATGTGATCACCATTTGCGATCTTCCCCCGGCTGGCTTCTAAATAAGCAAAGTCAGTGGGAGAAGCCAGATTCACTTAACATCTGCGATTCATTTAACGACTGCAGTGATTTGCTTAACCAAGAAACAAAAAGATCATAAAATTGAGCCTGCCTCACTTAGCAACTCGTCTTGCTTCGCCAGGGAAATTCTACTCCTACTTATGGGTCGTAAATCAAGAACTACCTGTATACAGAGCCACAGTGGCGCAGTGTTTAGAGGGCGGTACTGCAGGCTACTTCTGCTGATTGCCGGTTCCTACCTGCAATTTGGCAGATCGAATCTCACCAGGCTCAAGGTTGACTCAGCCTTCCGTCCTTCCGAGGTGGGTAAAATGAGGAGCCAGATTGTTGGAGGCAAAAGGCTGACTCTGTAAACCGCTTAGAGAGGGCTGTAAATGCACTATGAAGTGGTATATAAGTCTAGGTGCTATCGCTATAACTATTACTCTTCCTTTTCCCTTTCCCCTTCCTTCCTTCCTTCCTTCCTTCCTTCCTTCCTTCCATCCATCCATCCATCCATCCATCCATATTTCGCAATGGTTAGAATGCATATTGCATTCTGCCAACTGCCAGCAGTTCAATCCTGACTGGCTCAAGGTTGACTCAGCCTCCCATCCTTCCAAGGTGGGTAAAATGAAGACCCAGATTGTTGGGGGCAAGAGGCTGACTCTGTAAATGGCTTAGAAAGGCGTGTAAAGCACTGTGAAGCGGTATATAAGTCTAGGTGCTATTGCTATTGCTTATTGCTATTACTCTTCCTTTTCCCTTTCTCCTTCCTTCCTTCCTTCCTTCCTTC